GTCAAGGGACAAACACCTTTATTTAAATGGTCCTGATGTCTACAAACATAAAGACAAAAGAGTGGTCAAGCAATAGCTACCGTAACAATGAAAAGCAGTCCTTTAAAGGAGAACTATGGGGTCAGTGTTTTTCCCCATAGTTCTCCTTAGGGTAACGGGAGGACACAAACTAGCGTCCTCCCGTTACCCTAAGCTCAGTATACCGCGAGCTACAGCTCGCGGTATACTGAGACGCCGCACCTGGAGCGGATCCCGACGTAGATGACGGGATCCGCCCAGCTGCGTGAGTGACAGCTGGCTCTGCCTATCTAGAGGCAGAGCCAGCTGTACCCGCCCCCTCCCCCGTCCGTTCCGCCAGTCAGCGCTGGCAGATCGGAGCGGGGAGAGGGGAATCCAGCCCCTCCCCCTGTCACGGCAGAGAGCCGTGACAGGATCGAGAGGTGAGCGAACCCGGTATGTGTTCCCTCACCTCCCGATCTACTGAGCCGACCTGTGACAGTCTCATTGTCACAGGTCGGCTTAGAACTATGAGGTGAGTGGAAATCACTCATCCCATAGTTCTCCTTTAACGTAGAACTGTGGCCTACCATTAAAAAATTAGTGCTACAGCACTTTATTATACATGCATCTGCACTTATAGTTTTCTCCTAACTCCCCTGCAAAGTCCCAAATATACCCGGTAATACTGCCAGTAAAGTCTTTCTAATGCTGATTCCTGTGATGTGGCAACGATGCTGCCCTGCTCCTGAATCAGAGCAGAGTTGTCACTCTTATGTAGACTGTTCCTGCTTTCACTACAGTGTAATAAAATGTTGTAGGGGGCGGGTTGATCAGCATTGTCACTGCTGATTCACACGCCTGGCCATGCCTAAGTCCTGCCCACTGCTTTCTATATTGACAGCAGTGCTTCTGCTGCTGAAGCCCTCCAACTGTGAGCTGCAGTGTCTGGGAGTGGAAACGTGTCAGACACAAATAAAGGAGGACTTGCTTCTGTCATGGAAGGTAAATTAATTTTTGGTTTAATTTATGAGGATTGTGCATCATATAATAACTGGATTTGGTCATAGAGGAGCCTTTAGTTTTACTTCAGTGGATTTTTATTTAAAACCCATTTCTAAAATATATGGCTGTATACAGGTAAAAAAGCATGGGATTAACTGGTGATAAAACCTTGTATGCTGGTGAGAAAAGACAAGCTAGACAAGATCAAATATATTTTATCCAAGATTAATGCGGCTAATGTGATTTTACTATAACTGTACAATTTAATTGAAAAGAACAGGCAACTGAAGGAGAAAGACAGAAAGAACAGGTACATGGCTAGTATTAAAAACTATGTTCTCTTATGAGGCACATTCATTCATACAACATGGCTGTGAACCAGAGTATATAAGATAATACTTTAAAAAATATTTAAAACCTTTTTTTTTTAGAAATAGTATAAATTACTGGTAGATAACTTCTGTATGCATTAATTTAAATTGCACCCCCAGGCAGATATTAAAGCACAATTTAACCTAGTTATGTATTCATAAAAAAAGAATTTATTTTTAGAAAAAAATCCGCATAAGTGCTTGACTCTGCAACAGTATTAGCGCCCTGTAATTCCCTGCACAGCAGGACTGGGAAGGGGTGGATCAGCACTCTGAGCCAATAAGGTCTAATACTTAAAGTCCATTTCCACCTTTATAAGTGATTAACATTTATTGTGGTAATGAAGAGGTGCAGTGATGATGTGTATGTGTGTACATTTTCCTGACTCATATTGCAGGCTTACTTCATGTTCTCATTAAGTTTTTATTAGGTCTGAAGACTTAAGATTCAAAATTTTCTCCACAGGAAATTCAGTCTGACACCGGGATCAGATTACAGTACAATACTCTGTCTCGGGGGGAGCTCATAGAATGATATACACACATTGCCTGCACAGCACAGAGGCAGTCCATGAGGATATGAAGAGGAAAGCTAACAAAAAATGTAAGTTTCTGTGTTCATATAGAGCAACTGTATATGCCTGCTTCATGTACATTCGGTGTACATTCCTGGCATGTTTTAAAGAAATACCTCTACAAAGGTGGAAACAGGCTTTAACACTGCTACTATGCGCACAGAAGGAGTATTTGGGGGGACGACAAATGCAGACCATCTCTGCAATGCATGCACATTTCCTATGTTTTGTCTCTTTAAAAACTCCTCTTTTCGACCAAAATCTCAAATAGTGGTGTCAAGACTGCCCAGTTCCCCCCTGCTAGACTACAGATCCCCCCTCCTCATCACATAAAGGGAAGGTTTTCTGTGGTTCAGGCTAACTGAACAGGGCTGACCACACTTCAGTATCAGCATTCCAGGATAGGAACTTAGGAACTTACTGGATTTCTCTCAGCAACAGCAAGTAGTTCTGTACCTGCAGAATTTCCTAAAGGGACAAAAAATACATGTGTATATGTTGCGGAGATGTACTGTACGTGTGTTTTTTTATCTTGCCAGACAGATTTCTTCACTGCAGTTTAGGCTGCAGATCCAGTATCTGGTAGTGCTGTCTGAAAGGGGTGCCTGGATCACAAGACTGACAGAACACAGTATAAAATCCTTTGGCAGGTAAAGCAGTTAACATATACACATTTCAATGGTGTATTTAGTTGACAGGCAGGAGTTCAGCTTTTAAAGAAAACCGTATTATAGCTACAGTGCAACAGTTGTTCAAACAGATCTTGAGCACCTGTTTAGTTGACCACTATTACATAAAACAGAGAATATGTGGCTCGTGAACCACTAGGTGGGGATCAACTGACCAGGTAGACTACATTAGGAAAATAAAGTTTGTTCAGTAAGCCAACCATACTGTCTGTGCGCAACATGGCAATTTGCGGTAAGTGCTGTGGTCATGCAAAACTAGGGTCCTGTTCCCCCTTAAAGGAGATATAGGAGGCGAGTGATTTTCACTTAGCCTCATAATCTGAGCCGACCTGTGACAATGAAACTGTCACAGGTCTGCTCAGTAGATCAGGAAGTGAGCAAACACATGTGAGCGAACACATACCGTCGCTCGCTCACTTCTCGATCTATCCGCACAGAGAGCCGTGACTGTCACTCACGGCTCCCTGCAGTGATTCCCCCCCTCCCCTGTCCGATCCTCCAGCGCTGAATGGCGGAACGGACGGGGGAGGGGTCGGGTACAGCTGGCTCTGCCTCTAGATAGGCAGAGCCAGCTGTTACTCACGCAGCTGGGTGGATCCAGACAGCATTGTCGGGAACCGTGCTGGCTGCGGCGTCCCAGTATACCGCGAGCTGTAGCTCGCGGTATACTGAGCTTTGGGTGACGGATGGACGCTAATTAGTGTCCTCCCGTTACCCTTAGGAGGACTATGGGGCAAAGCACTAACCCCATAGTTCTCCTTTAATTAAACCCTTAAAAGGCTTCAACTTATTATATTAATTATTAGTTTATTTTAAAAGGACTTTGGAAGTTAGATAATAAAAGTAATTACAGTAATAAGGAGTACCCTGTCCTCTAATAGGGTTATATGCAGGAGAAGTGAAAAATCTAGGACAACATAGCTGATTTGGAAAAATTCTCCAATTTAGCTCACCTTCCAGATCAGCTATGTTGTCCTAGATTGTTCACTTCTCCCGCCTTCTCCAAACGTCATCCTTTTGTGAATAACCCTGTAAATATTTTTGATATACACAGCATTTTCTTTACTAGAGTTTAGTTGTCTATGAAATATTATTAATGACTTTAAGGTGGCTTACTTATAATGGCTGGAAAAAAATAGGAGCAAAAGTGGAGTTGTTTTTTGAATGACTAATTGTGTCATTTATTTTCCTTGTATGTATCATATTCCTTGTTCCATTTTTCAGGATACTTTGTAAAGTCACTTTAGCAACACCTAAACTTTTTTACATTTTAAAATAAATAAGCCTCTAAAATAAGAAAGGCAATTCATTTCACAGAGACTGTTTTGCTTTCAGGTGCCCCATGGCAACAGTCATTTGACCACTGATACCTCAAAAGAAGATGAACACTGTTATAAAAGGTGCAAGTAGGTCACCTTCAACAATGGCACAGCGACGATAGGCCACAAGGTAGCCTCTCATCTGAGCCACTACTGTCTTCAGTTTAACAAAGATCTCCAGATACCATATTATTATAATAGAGGTTCCACTAGACAGCAGAAGATCTAGCACTTCTGTGGTCAGCACCCTCTGGTGCTGTGTTTCCTAAACTGTGATGTGTACCGCTCCTGTTACTTAATCTCATTGATGATGGGATGATGCAGGAATCAGGATTTCTGAGTTAAACTGCCTTCTGGTAAGAAAATAGAGGGAAGGAGAGGTAGAGAAAAATACACTTCAGAGAGATCAATAGTGCATTTACACTGGAAATCCCTCTTCAAAAGTGTACTGTCATACATATGTAACACTGTTCAAATGTTGACATTGCCAAGATAACGTGAACATTGCATTGCGGAGCTACATTTAATGCTTAAAGACAAACTCCATCCAAGGCTTCTTTTTTCTCCTTTGGACTATATATCCAAATTTTCCCACAGTAGGAAGTATCTCCATTCTCTCCCACAATGCACCAAAGTGTCATCTACTTGCTCCTGGACTCCCATATACTTGTTTATTTTACTATGCTATATGCAACGCCTAAACTTTTACTTGCCCATGATTTTTATCATTCAGTAACACATATTTTTAAAATAACATGATAATACGTAGCAATTTACTGTTAATACTACACTGTAAAACAATAACATAATACACAAATTAAAAATATTAAGCTTATAAATCAATAAAATTATGCTTATTTTGGTGATGTTTTAAAGCATGGTGAGCATTCTGCCGAAACCAGTTGATTGTTCTGCCAAAAAGCATTCAATTTCCACAAGCTTGATGGACCAATAGTCGGAGGCAAGAAAAAGGTAAAGTTTGGTGATTTGGTTATATGGCTTTGTTTGTGCATTGGTTGAGAAGTTCCCACATTCTCTTTAGGGCTCTCAGCCTTTCAGGCCTAGCAAGCGAGCAATGTTAAGCACATCATCCCTAGTAAGATAGCAGCCACAAAGCTGTCTGTAGCCTGTGAAGGACTCCCGTCCGTGTAAGACCCTCCAGTTATCAACAAACAGCACCTGAAACAAGAACATTTAGTGGAATAATTAGTTACAACAGGAATACATATAAAAATACAAGTTCCACCATGATAGTCCTCCAAAACTACAGGTGTGTGGTGCTAAGAAATGTAACTTAGCACCACACACCTAAAACTAAAATATCACTTTTGGTGGATCCTAATCATGTGAATTATTTAGCACAAATTAATGGGTGTTATGTATAAAAGGTTAAAGCACCGTTTTGATCACAATAAAACTTAGATGCTACTCCTCATTCCTGTCTGAATCAATACCTTCAATGTCAGGAGCCATTAAATAATGATTTTCTACGCAGACGTGAGTTCTATGAAGTGTTAAAAAGCATGTGTTTGCAATGAAAACACAGAAAACAGAAGCTGCGGGCATTTCAAGCTGCCTTTAGCTCAACCTATCTCTCGTGACAAATGACCAATTTTGGCAAATAAAAATATCCAAAAGATATAAAGATATAAAGACAATTGTGATATAGTTTTGTTTGGAAGTTGGCTTAACCTTCCTGGCGGTAATCTCGAGTGTGGCTCGGGGGTAATTTTCAGTACCAATAGTGGTAACCCCGATCCACACCCGGGATTACACTGTAGCGTACACTGTAGCGTTCCCTTACCTTGTCCCTACAAGCCCCCGGCATCCGTCTTCCGGGTTCCTTCCCTGCGAGCGCCGGCGTTGCAGGGGGGTGGAACCGGGGGACAATTTTAAAGTGAAAAATAGAAAAAAAATACTGATATAATCAGACCGCCAGGGAGGTTAAAGTGTATGTAAACTCTAAATCTTTGTATGGCATCATGTCTCACTGTATACAGTTTTCTTAAGTAAACTGTTTTTTTGTGAATCTGTTGCAAAGTTTCTTACCTGGAGATCCATCCACTACTACTTCTTTTTGCAGGATGACAATGATATACCCCTGCCCATCTAACAGACAAAATAGGTTACTCAATGGCCAACTGAAGAAGCACACACAGCAGGCTGACAATGTTACTGCTAATTGCAATGAAGTGGCTTAGTTTTGTCAGTCTGCAACAGTGCGGTTACTGGCAGCATCTCCTGGAAGGAAACTTTCCAATCTTTGCAAACAACAATTTGCTTATGAAAACTGCATACAGTGGATGATGGCAAACATTCTGAAAAATAGATTTGGGTTTACATACATTTTAATGTAAATCTGTAATTTACCATTTCCAGGCAAAGCAATAGGCATGGATGCTTATAGTCTCCACCAAGGCTGCATGTAACAGGGTGAGAACAGAGGAGCATAACTGGGAGACAGTTGTCACCACAGCAGCTTAGGAGCAGTATTAGAAGCCAATGGGAGCTCTGCTCCAGTGTACAGTAGAGAGAACAGAGTAATAACCTCATCAGTGTACTGATGCCTCTTCACTATCCATTCAGCAGGCTGGGTGCATGCCCATGGCCATGATGTGCTGCTAAAGCAGTGTAGGTCAAGCATTTGAGTGTGTCTGAATGCCTGGATTATTAATCTGCGGCAGGAGGTAAAACATATAACACTCAAACGTCAGGTGGTCATAATAATCTGGCCACTCAGTGTATACTTTAACTATATGCCTAGTTGTTTATCTTCAACTTTAAAGATAACATTTAGACAGAGAAATTACCTTTACTGACCTACATAATGCAAATTACTACAAGCTACTACTAACCTTTTTTGCTTTGTACACCGCACCCTGTGCAATGGCTGCTTTTGTGGTATCCTGTGAGGCAATGCATTTATAATTTTTGTGTATAAATATCTTCCGCTATCACAGCAAACTCAGATTTGATAAGTTCCTGTTTATGCTTGAGAGCACTAGAAGGCTAAGGGCATGTGTAAGCAAATGCAACTTGCTTCCAGGTGCATTCGATGGCAGTTTGAGACAATTCTGAGCTCATTGACAAGTTCATCTGACCATCTTCTGACCAGCCTCTGACTTCTTTCTAAGCTCTGTGCTGCTTTTGCATTTGTATTGACTTGGAGATGGAGATGTATGGAGAGAGAAGTTCTGATGCGCACAGAAGCCAATTAACACAGGCCCTGAAGCAAAAAAACGAATACCAAATCCAACAGCAGCAGCTAGCAGGTGTTAGAGCTGCTTAGGGTTTCCTGCCAACTCTCCAGCAGGAGCTAGCAGCTGTTAGAGCTGCTTAGGGTTTCCTGACAACTCTCAACATTCTAGTATTTGACATTAGGCAGGCCCATGACCCCCATCTTGCAATACAATGCCTGCTCCTGAACTGCCAAGCGCTTAGTGATCTCGGTAGTTGCAGGCACAGTGGAGAAATTCATCCTAAAAATTCACAGCAGAAGCAGTAAAATAGTCTATATAGGTTCTCTCAGCAAGGTTATAATGGTTCTCTCAGCAATTAAGCCCCCCTGTTCCTTCTCTTAGAACACTTGCTGTGTTTAGTTTAGAGATTGCAAGGCTGCCAAATCAGTACTGGGAGGGGAGCAAGATGAACTCGGTTGCTGAATCACTGCTGGGAGGAGGCAGTAGTGTGAGCTGAGCTGCTGATAGAAAGACTTGGATAACCTCGGAGCTCCTGTTGTGGACTTTGTGGTTTAATAGCTCCAGAGTGTCTGAAGCTACAGAAGTCAGCAAGAGCTTAGTGTACAGATAGTACTTAGTCAGAGAAGCACAGGCTTCTGCAGCAATAAAGGACTTTTCTAAACAGGATCCTTTTCTAAACAGGACCAATGTAACAGAAACCACATTTCTGCACTGGAGAACATATGTTGGCAAATGTCAGCAAATATTTTTCTGATTTCTAAGCAGTGAATCTGTAAGTACAGTGAATGTTACCTGGTAAATGTTCCATGAATGCATCAAGGAATACATAATGCCCCTCAGTGATACATAGCTTAGTAATAGGGATTGGATCCGTCAGGAAATTCTTTTTTTACTGTACACAGAAATGTTTTTTCGCTCTCTTCACATACCTTGCCTGGTTTTAGTTTCACCCACAGCTCATTCTCAGGCCTCCTCAGCTCATTGGTTAGGATTCGGTGTGCAGAATACCAACGATGCACCAAGTCATAGGGCACTGTGTTGATGACAGCACGATCATAGTTGTTGTACCTGAAAGCAATTTTGTTTTGTTAGTGTAACAGGAATTGCCCACACATATTTTCTGAAGCTAAAGCCCAGCTTCGGACATATATAAACCACCATACTATTCCCCCCCCTCCCCCCTCAACTGCAACTGATTTTTGACACTACCCACAGGAGCTCTTTTTTTAGACACCGAAGTCTGACATCCATGTTTCTTGTCCCCGCGACATTTGGAGACTGGTGACCCAGCTTTGTCTGTGCTCGTGCTAACCAGTTCCCTCTTAATGGGTCATCATGCTGGCCAGCCAATAGGAAGTGTCTGTTAGGGAATTCTCATGTAGACGGCTAAGGGATCTGTCCTTATCAAGGCCTTGGGAACAGACACAGATCCACACTCGTGTAGAATCAGTACATGTTCAGTTTATTATTTGACAAACAGTAATATATAAGTCAGATATGAGGATGTACAGCGGAAATACTTAATGCAAGCATGAGTATTCATTTTACAAGTAACTTTACTTCGCTATCTGGCATTCTCAATATGCTATATTCTAAATAGAAAAGGTGTGAACTTACTGCATAGAAAAAGAGGAACTAAAATTATGGAAACTAACTGAATGCATTTAAAGCTGACTTTAATATCATATCTCAATTTCAAAGTGAACCTGTCCCAATACAAAGAACCTAATTGGTATTCAGGAGAACCTGTATTAAGGAAAACCTGTATTCAGGAGAACCTTTCAGTGCCCATGTCAATCAGGCAGTAAAGTAGACACCTAAAGAAGGCCTGCTCCTGCTCTGCAGGAAAGAACACGGAAGACTTGGGACCTGATGCACAACTTAACCATGGATTTAGGATAAGAGAAACTGGCTTTTACTAGGCTGATACTGATACCAGGTCAAATCCAGGTACTTACATTGTTTGTATTTAACAAAACACATTTGATTATATATTCATACATATAGAGTGGTATTAGTTTGTATATCTGCTTGGAGTTTAGCTTTAAGCCCTTTTCCTTATTAGCATGTGCCTTGGCCCTACTCTTTAATTCTTTTAAGCAGCTCCTAATTTGTCATCTATACAGTTCGTGGCCTTGGGAATATCTTATTGCTGTAGACAGCAACAGAATGATTACAACCCCTCACAGGGTAAAATGAAAGCCTCAGCGTCACTGAAGATAGATTGAGGATGAACATTACAGACTGACTCAGTTCTACTTTAAATCCTGACATGTGTATGTAAACATCAGCCTGAACTAGTGAGCACTATAAATCAACAGAATTTTTACAAAAGAGGTTGAGAGAAACTACAAAATATGTCAAAAGGAGCCTAATGCTCCACCTGCTGTGGGATATTCATATGCAATACTTAACCTTCACCTAAAATAAAAAAAAACTACACTTTAACATTTTTAGTCCTGCCGTAATAGAAGATAATATTGGTTGATTGATGGATTTTTGTAACTTGAATTATTTTCCCCTTTTCATGATTTTGGTGTGTCCCCCTGTTCCCTCTAAAGTTTTCACATTTTACTTCTTGCCACATATGATCTGGACAAACACAGAGACCCTTTGGGAACAGAAAATGGCCACTGCACTCTGTTTGTAACTGACAATTATGCATAGTGCAGATCACAGTAGCCTCAAAATATTTTTTTTGATTTAACCAACCCCCACAGCATAAAAAATGCAGACTGAGAATCATGCAGGGAATTAAAGCAATGGTCTCATTTTAACATAAGGTAACTTTTAAATAAAATGCAAAAGGACATGTGAAGAATCAATTTATAACTCACTGTCTTGTATGTAGAGGCATGGGTGAAATACTGAGGCTGCCTCGGCTGACCTCACCTTGAGAAGATGCTAATTGCCTGGCCCTATTGCTAACTTTACTGCTTGCACATGGCACATTTCGAGTTACCAAGCTGCAGTTGATTTCTGTTGCTACTGCAATGGCGACTTTTTTTTGCAAAAGAGGGTCTATAGCCAGTAAATTAAAAGTCAGAGGGGGCCCTCTGCTGGCAGTGTGGGGAAATTGTTTCCCATGTTCTGGAAAAGGGAAAGTATAATAACGGAATCGTTTGTACTCAATGTAATTTTAATTGTTTTCAATGTTTTTATTTCTAAACTGTTTTTAAATCTTTTAATGAAAAAAACCCATAAAAATAAGCGCAATATACAGTATATAAAATACATTTATAGATATACACACACGCTCGAGCGCACGCATACACACATATTATATCTTTGTTTAACAAAGTAGTTAGCTAAATGGACAGCTCCCTGATTAAAGCCTCCAAATAAGCAGTCTGACTAGACATGAGTAACTATTTAATGCGATGTGGGCTGAATGGCTGTTATACCGGGGACGGGCTACGCTTGGGTGAACGAGTCAAATGGTTCACTGCGTTCTGCGGCCAGTTCTGGGTACTTGGCGTATACTGTTATGTGGGGGTGGGATGTGTTGTGTTGTAGATACGGGCTAGTTGTATTGATTATACATGTGGTATGCATCTTTTCAAGGCGGCTGTTGGCTTTACGGCTCACCGGAAGCTGTTGTATGTACACCTCTCTTTTTAATTTATTTTACCTAATGTTGGTTTTGACCTGCTTTCCTTTGCACTGATTTTTTGTTTGCACAAAAAATGTTTAATAAAAACTATCTGATTTAAAAAAAAGACACGAGTAACTACTCTGATGACTTTGAGTTCTGTTAATGAGGGGTTTCCTTTGGTATAGCTAAACATGTGTAAAGGAGACTAAACGTCCATCTGCTGGCTGGACAGAAGAGTAGATAATATAATTAAATATGCAATATGTTATACATAACAAAATAGGATTTTTAAACTTACTGTAAAATAATTTTCTTCTAATTTATTGAGGAACATAGGAAGTCGCCTATAGGAGGATTGGACACTGGCAAACAAAAAAACTGTGGGCCAGCCCAGGGTATAAGTTCTCCTGCTACCAGCATGTCTCAGTTTTGTGGCAAAGTAGGTGGGACCTGTATCTCTCTATTGACAAGGATCTTATGGTAAGTACAAAAACCTTATTTTCTTTCTTGTCTGGTTTTACGTCATTTTCAGGCCTAAAATGTGGAATATAACATGGGTGCAAAAATTGAAAAAAGGGCCTCAGTCATGAAGGGGTTAAGGGACACAGGAAGACTTAACCATTTGAACTGTCCAAAAGCAGTCCAACTGAGGAGTGGGCAACACAGCAAACAACCGCTAACAGGCCCAATATAAAACAACAGTAATTGGGTACTGCCTGCAGGCTAAAGTGCTGCTTCTTAGGCTTCTCCCACTAAGGTTAGTGCTCTTTGATGATAGTTAGTAGCACTTTTGATGATAACGTCAAAAGTTGAACCAAAGTGAAGTCCCTGTGAATCTGGTGCTTCTTGCATGAAAGCTCTGCAGTCCAATACCTTAGCCAAAAGGCCTTGCGCATAAGCATTTACAAGAGGTGGATGCAGGAAATAGGCCTGGAGGCTTCTAATTGGCAACCATAGCTAAAGTTTAATTCCAATGACATATGTTCCATTCACTCAATTAGCGGGGGGTCAACATGAGCAGTAGTGAAGTCTATTTTAAGGGATCTGGACTGATCATAAATGGTTTGGCAAAGTAGAATTTTGGCCAAAACCAGTTATAAAGCCTCTAGAAAGGGCCTTTATCCACAGGGGAGTCCCTGAATACCTGGTGGGCATCCACCGATATGATAATTGTCTTGCTAGGGCATGACATGGACAAATCTTTAGTAGGAATGGACCACTTGTGAACAAAGTCCTCACCAAATGGGTACAAGGATTGTAAGTAATTAAGGGGAGCAAATGGCCTATGAGTACATTTCCAGTCCACATAATGAAACACCTGGTAGAGCGTGTGCAAAGGAAGGGCCTTTGCACTCGGCTGGCCTTCAACAGTTTTTCTGTTTGCCAGTGTCCAAATCACCTGAAGGTGGCAGCTCTAAGAATTACTAAATTCCTGTGTCCTTCAATGGACGATACATTTTGTTTTCAATGGAAAGTGGTCATTCTAGAAATATGCAGGCCAACACTGCTGACCTATTTTTTAAAATGCTGACTATTCATTGCAAGTCAGTGCCTCAAATAATTACATTGATTGGAGCAGCCAGTTTGCCTGCATTTTGGAAATAGGAGGAGCAGAGCCTGAGCCAGTCAGAGCTCTAATGCTTTGCAAAGAGCAGTCAGGATAAAGTTTAACAGGAGAGGAAGGACAGCATAGTGATGTTTTAGTGCCAGTTCACTGTCCAATCAAAAGCTAGGTTTGACCCTAGGTTATATTCCATATTATATAGTTCACCTGTGAAAGGAGCTCTTTTTTTCCTGGGTTTTAGTTTGAAATTGAAAGGAAAAACATTATTGATTGCAAAACCAACAAAGACTGATGATCTAAGTTAATGGTTTGCACTTGGCACACAGAAGAAGGACTTTACTGATTATAATTTAGAGCTCAGCATGTAAACAAAGCTGGCCATCTGAAATACACACTTATTCTACTGAAGACACTCACCTAATCATATAAAGCTCTTTATTCCAAGGATAAACATTCAGTACTGGTCCAATCCCCACCATGTGGTTGTGACTTGTTCCAGAATTTTCAATGTATTCATGTTTCAGAGGCACAGTACTGAGGAGGTTAAAGTCTTCTACGTAAAATTGTCGAACTTGTTCAGCAGCGTAAAAGCCATCCACCAGCAAGGTGCGTCCTCCTGTTCCTTCATGCCGCAGACAGTGGAATAGCTGCATGCTGCAATTAACAGACAGGGCAAATCAGTTAAAGCACAAGTACTAAAGTAAAAGATATTTTAAAGGGCATTTGTTCAAGGAATTGATAAATCGTGTGCACTGCGCTACTGCTCATGAACGTGGGTACACGTATTTGTTCAAAGAAACCCCAGTGTGTGTTCAGTCAGTGCATATTTTACAACAATTTTTGCCATAGCCTTTAGGTTTTTACTTCTTTGCTTTTCCATATTGGACTATTTTATTTTTATATACAAATGTGAAAATCGTCATTTATGTGAATGTTATCTGTACATCTGCTTAATGACTCAAGAAAGAGTTTAGCAACCACAATCAAAAGATTTCAGAAGGCAGTTGGATGTGCATGATGACAGGGAGCAATAGTAGGCATTTAGCTTGTTTTGCATGAGTGCATGCTCTAACCAGAATCAAACAAAACTCACCCACAGGGTTCCTGGAAGTAGGTGGTATCTGTGTGCCGATCAAGGGCCAGTTTTGTGTAGGCTGTGTCTCCCCGCGAGAAGTCAGATGTGAGGTCCCACATTTTACCATAAATTGTCTCCCTAGGTAGAAACGTAGAGATATTTGAACAATTAAAAAGGCTTGAACTCTATGTGCTCCGAAGTCATGCTTTAGGGTGCTCACAGGTCAAATTAAAGCTGATCAGGCAGAAATTTATTTGAAAAGAATGAAATACATTTTTACATAAAACTAGCATAAGTACCTGAATTTGTCCTGATATTAGCCTTTGTGATCATCTGTACTGCATAACTCAGATTGGGAGAGGCAACAGCAGCACTAGGAGCCAATAAGGCTCTTCTTTTCCCCTAGAACAGGAGAAAAGACAAAGAATTTATCAAAACTGGAGCAGACAAAATCTGGAGCAGCTGTGCATGGCAACCAATCAGCTTCTCTCTCATTTACAAATCTTAACTGAACAAACTGAAGAGAGAAGCTAATTGGTTCCCATGCACAGCTGCTCCAGATTTAGTTTGCTCCAGTTTTGATAAATTCCCCCCAGAGTGAGCTGAGTTGATGATTGTTAGGCTGGGCACACACCTTACAACCATCGCAAGACTTTTGTCTTGCGATGGTTGTAAGGTAATTAAAAAAACGTACGATCTGCCTATCTTGGACAGGCAGATCGTACTTGCGATTATCGCAAGCCGCACCCTCTGAGGGGCGGGCTTCCGATGACCACAATGCGAAGGGCAGTGTGCGTTATCCAAAGTGCCTTTAACCAACTAAGGAGACTATCTTGTTCATCACTAAGGAACTTCATAGAGTGACTTACTGCACTTGAAAGACTGTTCGTCATCAAGGTCTACTATGCTGATAGTCATCAGACTTTACCTGATTTGAACTTGCGCCTTCTCAGCAAGGGATATATTTTGCTATCACAACAATCGGAGTCAGAATAAACCTTGTATTTCGCAGTTTCAGCCACAGCCAATCAAAGGTTCCCTGAGGCCTGGTTCACACCTGGGCGTTTTACAGCGCGTTCCTACGCTCTGTAAAACGCTCAACATGTGAAAACCAATGATTGCCTATGGGCATGGTTCCCACTTGGGCGTTTTACAGCGCGTAGGAACGCGCTGCAAAATGCCCTACGCCCAAAGAAGTACTGGACCTTCTTTGGGGCATATTTGCCGCGCGTATCCATTGGGATTCAGCGAGGCAGCCCTCTGAAACGTGCGTTTGTTGCGTGGGTATTTACCGCGAATCGCGGTAAAAGCCACGCGACAAACGCGCATATTTGATACGCCTAGGTGTGAACCCAGCCTTATACAGAAGGAACACCCTAAACGAAAAAGCAATATACTTACTTTTCCAGGGGTTCAGAAAGGTCTTTTGAGACCTTCTTTGCCCATATATGTTTTGCCCTAGACAAAAGAAGTCAATCATTGTCCACCTGGTTATCAAATAGACAGGAAGATGCAAAACACAGAAGTTTTCCAGCACCCTTACCGGCTAGCCTGCAACAAAACAAACTGCCCTGTCTAACAGTATGCGTTAAAAACAGAGGTTTTAGTTGCACAACTTTTGCAAAATATGTGGAAGTCACACTGGCTTGCCAAGGCTCCTCTGTGTAATGTGGTCCTAACTCTAATTTTTTTGATTCTCCATATTGAAGCACATTTAAGCAGTATGTGTTAAAAACGAGGCAGTGTGGCTTCCACGTATTTTGAAAAAGTTGTGCAACTAAAACCTCTGTCTGTTTTTAACGCATACTATTAGACAGGGCAATTTGTTTTGTTGCCGGCTGGCCGGTAAGTGTGTTGGGAAACGTCTGTGTTTTGTATTCGGCTTAGCTTAGCTGTGTTTGGTGTGGGGAAGCATTGGGGGCCCCAGCGTGCATTTTGGATTGCTGGGCCTCCACTGTGTCCCTGTGCCTTTAAGAAAGAGTGGGCTCCCTCCAGACATACCTGCATTCTATCTACTGCTTAAATATGCTCCAATATGGAGACTCATAAAAATTAGAGTTAGGACCACAATACACAGAGGAGCCTTGACAAGGCAGTGTGGCTTGCACATACTTTGTTTGCTTCCACAACTAAAACTTCTGTTTTTAACACATACGGTCAGACAGGGTAATTTGTTTTGTTGCAGGTTAGCTGGCATGTGTGCTGGGAAACTTCTGTGTTCTGTATTGTTGTAAGCCCTTCCATGTGCACATTGCTATAAAGGCTAGTTATAAATTGTGCGGTTGCCATGTATTTTTAGCTAGGATGGAAGATGCCGTCTGTGACAGCCACATTGGTTTGTGTATGTCTGAAATGCTCTTAAAATTGTTTCATTGTTGCCTGCATGACGCAAGCACTTGGCCCTTCTATATACACCTAAATCTGTCAGATTTGGCCTTTACTGTAAACAGCCAAAAGTGTTGCACATCGTGAATAATGGGGCCTATGACTACTCAGTATAACTACTTATTTAGGATAACCTTTAGCATATAATTCCTCACACAGAAAATGCCACCCACAAAAATACAGCAGGGGAGAGGGCAGCATTACAGTTTTTTTTTCTACGTCTACACTGCTGATTTCTAGTGGCTCAATTGAACTACTTAAATAGCTAGCAAATAAGCATTGCGAGTGACTGCACATTTGCTACACAGATGGAACAAATGGATCTGTATTCTACAGCTGCATAAGATCATGTGTTAGCAAATTATTACGCATGATCGTACAATGCTGCTATTGTGCGCGATTGCTTGATACAACAGATACCTGTGTAGCTTACCCATAGAAAGGCGTGTGTTCCATTAGTTTAGAAATCGATTGCCACTCTTAGCAATCACTCTCAATTGACTTTTGTTGTGCAGCTGAGAAAAAAAAGACCCACGTAGTTCTAGCTTTAACCTGCATTCCCAACACTCTCAAATGCATAATATGACTCAAGGATTAACCTGTAAAACAGTTGCAATAATTGGAAATATAAGGCCATATGTAATATAAATTATACCAGGCTGAACTGTAAAATCCCTGGCTCAAAGGCCAAAACAAACCATAGTAAGCATGTGACTGAGAAAGCAAAGCCAGATGTCAATGAAGGCCTCGTGCTTGTTTCAAGACACAGCTTACTTAAAAGAAAAATCTGCTCAATACTTTAAAGACTTCAAGTGGTATACTTACAGCTTTAATCTTCCAATGTGTATGGCTCATTTCTAATTATTATAGATTTCAGACTTGCCTATTCTTTCAAGGAAAATTATATTGAATTTAGAAGATGTAAGATATGGCTTGATTAGAGCAAAAGTGATGCGATAGATTTAAATACTGCTTGCAAGAATAAGGGCAAGTTGGGTTCCGGTAGAGGGAGCATGTTTAAAAATCTTTGTGGTTAATCACCAATCACTTATCTTTGAAAATAAAGGAGAGCAACATGTACACACACTGCATATGTGTACAAATTGGGATGTAGATAACCAAGTATCCCACAAATGATAAGGTAGGCAGATACCTTAATCCGCATCCCGCTCAGTCAGATATCTGCCCTTCTTAGGCCTCACATACTTTTGCACAAATAAATATGTGTTATTAAGTACAACAGCCAAGTTTTATTAGAAAGGTTTCTGTGCTAAGCTCAAGATCAGACAAATATCACACAGACACACAGACATGTAAGCTTTGCTCTAGTTACCGGATATGACTAATTCTCTGCGCCACCCTTTCTGTATCCTCCCGAGTTGGTGGAACATCATCAACAAAGGCAATGCCGTACAGTAAGAAGTTCTTCAGAAACTCTCGAAGGCCTTCATTTGTCCCAAGAAAATCAGAAAAGCTGACGGATGGCACATTTGCTTCCTTGTAAATGGTTGCATTCCATAAAATTCGAGGCTGAACAGGCTGCTGCTTCTGTCCTTCATAGCTATTTTGTGACAACCAGTCTAACCCATATTTGGTCATGTGCCCATCTGGCCCTATTAAATGGAGAAACACAACACCAACAATATATTAAAGTGCATGAAAAGCCTAACAAGAAAATTCTCTTATTTTCTACCTTTTGGTCTCTTAAATACACAAATTATTTTGATATTTCTGTTCGATAACTTAAAAAAATACCTATTGATTATGCCAGAAATTCAAAGCTGTCCTGTGTTCTGTGCACACCTGCTCTGTTATCTCGAGCCATGTAATTAGCCCTTTCAATTCCTATCTTGGACTAGTGAACAATTAGTCCCCATGTTGTGGAGATGAGGAGATTTGGAGGGATTCAGCTAATCTAGCTAATGACAACTAGGCAGGGCTGACACCACTTAGTTAACAAAAATGCTGCGTGTTGTCAGCACACAATAGGAAACTAGGAGCGGAGTACATTTCTGGCAGATCAATTTTTCTGCACTTTCGGGGTCTTTACAGGAATAGTTATGAGAAGAAAGGCAGGGTCATTTTTAGTGACAAAGCTGGACTTTTCTATTTAACAAGAAAAACAACATGCCTTTCGCTAGATAAGGCGACGGCTCGATGACCTTGCATTTGGACCACATACTGTACTTTAGTTAAGAACAGACTATGGAGACTATAGTCCTCAGAATAGATAGCCCATCGGTCTGTTTTACAGCCATTCCAGACTGAAAAAGGTAATTTCAGGGAGGTGCCCTCTTCTTTCCACCCATCTATGGGGGAGAGGTCTTCTCCTTTTGCAAACTAAAATAGCCAATAGAAGCCTAGCTATTCATTCCTATGCTGGTTTTTTTTTCTCTGACGGTGGCCGGCGACCCCAATGTAAAAAATAAGAAAAAAAGAACACCAGACAGCAGGGAAAGGTTTACTCTAGATAGATAGAACAGAGTAAACCTTTTCGGGATAAAATGTTTCTCTCCCGTACGCCGCTATCTTATAGCGGGAGACTCTGGAACGAGAGTTGAGATGTCTGCTTTTCTGCTTTCACACTCCCATGACAAGTAAAATGATGTGAACTGGGCCCCTTGGTTCTTTTATAATCATAAACAAATCTTTTATTCACAATAGCAGCACTCTTCTCATGTAATTACAGTGACATCCTGTACTTTCTAGGTATGCTGAAAATCTTTTCAAGGTATGCCTGTAATAAGTAGATCATTTCAGCTTTTTCAAGTGCTAAAAGTAACTTTGTTTTGTACTTGTTGGTCTTTTGCTGTAACAACAAAACAAAACTGGAAAAACTGAAGAATGTTCTTCTCAAATTGATGGGAAAAAAAGGCAAGAAAAAGCACTTTTGGTAAAAAATAAACCTACTGATAACATTCATGAACCTGTGTGTTATTTGTTTTTTTAGGCCAAAGAAAACAGAAAATTCCTGGCTACTAGTTTTCTTCTATAACCTACTACACAGAAAGGCAGCTGTGTGCTAGAAAGAAACCTTCCCTAATCTACTATCTTCATTACAAAGATATACAGGCAGTCCCCGAGTTACAAACAAGATAGGGACTGTAGGCTTGTTCTAAAGTTGAATTTGTATGTAAATTGGAACAAGTAAATTTTTTAAGCATAGGGAAGGGTTAACCCCCTGTAACGTTTGTTTTGCTGTCTGTGCCCCTGTTCAGAAGATTTCACCTCACTTTCTGTCCCTGTTACAATTGGATTTTGAAAATTTGTCTTGGAAACAGGATTGGTGATAAAGCTTCAGTGGAGACACCTTTTTCCCATGATCATTCTTACAAGAGTGAATTTCCCTTCCTAGGGGTAGATTTCCTTTCACTTCCTGTTGTCTCAAGGACAGGAAGTGAGATTAAATCTTTCTAAAGAGGATACAGAGAGCAGTAAAAACCTCACAGTGACCCAGAAGAAGAGGTGGGCACCCCACGTCTGCACGTCTAACAGGAGCCAACTTCCTGTAATGTACATACAGTACGACGAACCAGACCCAAAAAGGCGGGCGCTGCGCTTCAGCACGAGCGCGGTAGCATTACGACTCCCCCTGCTGTACAATAATAGCCTCAGTTTGTAAGTAGGAGTCGTATGTAAGTTGGATGTTTGTAACTCGGGGACTGCCTGTATTTATTTCTGATAAGTTCTTATAACCTGAGCATTTTGTACACAAAAAAATTAGTAAAACTGTTACAATTTTAAAGTAACAGGGGTAATAAATTACATTAATTTCTCTGACTGAGCAGAGCATTGCTGGTGATAACTGGTAACATATGGAACAAACAATGACTAACACTCAGGGAAAGCTCTGTAGCATTAATCATACATAAAGATGTTCTTAAGGACATTTTGTCCTAAACAAATTGCTTTAGTTAGCAGAGAATGTCCCTCAGTTTAGGTCCATTGTATTAAAAACAGGCAGATCTCTTGCTTCTGAAATTAACCACAGATCTGCCAGTCTATGGCCAGCTGAAGGCGATAAAAGACTATAAAAAGACTAACCTCAAATCTACTATGGGCTGAATTATGAAAACTGGAATATGTGCACATAGCAACCACATTACTTATTTAATATTGATGATACAGTCATCTTCTGCTCCCGTTTGCTTTCCATAAGCCCTCAGGGGCAGGGCCCTCCTTACCAACTTGTCTTGAATTGTATTGTAATGTCTTTCTTATATTGTAAAGCGCTGAGCAAACTGTTGGCGCTATATAAATCCTGTATTATAATGATAATAATAATAAATGCAATAAGTCATCTCAAAGTTCCAGAAATCTGAATAAAGAGTTGGAGGGGATGCCCTTAAAACTAGATATCAGCTTTCCTTTTTCAAGCCAGGGCTACTGAATAAACATAATCACCTGAAGGTTTGCAATAAACAACCGCATCCTTATCTTTCCCAACATACAATCAGTGAGGCTCTCATGATAGGGAAGCATATTCATAGACTTACATGTTAGATATAGTGTGGCCTCATCTACTCGGACCTGTGCAGGTCTGATGTTCAGTTCCACGCTGGCTGTGTCCAAACTACGCTGGTTGGTTTTGGCGTTGTAGCAAGATGCTGACCGGCAATGATCCCTCAGCCACACATAGTCAAAACGCATACATGTTCCAGAGTAAAGCAGCTCTGTTTAAACAGACACAGAGACTATAATAATCAATCAGTGACAGTAAACAGACAAGGCTAAATAATTTGCAAGGCAAGGAATCAATCAGATTTTTCCACTGCAGTGTGGCAGAAAAAGACCAAAACTGAATTACTTGCAATGTGTAACAAAGATCTTTCTGGTTTCAGACACTCTAACAAAGAAACATCTTACTTCTTTTGCAGCAAACACATTGACTTTCCAGAAGGAAGTTACACAGGATGTGTGGAGGGTCTTTCGCAAAACATCATAATATTTCGAAAGTAGTTTTAATGTCATATGCGCACATTTATCTTCCCAAACAAAGAGTCAGACTGTTACACAACATGAGCAGTCATCATTTCATCTAGGGCAATCTGACAGGGTATGAAATATTGAAAGGCCGGTTGTGGCACACCAGTGTTGAACAAATGGGCAATTTTCGGTAAACTTTTTTGGAGGAATTTACAGTGCTTGGAGATGAAAGCTGACACAGCAATTCATAGTGTAGAGGGAGCTCAACTGATATGCACTTAGTTGCGCACTTGCGCTTCAGCATGTGCTGATCCCGCTCTGTCATTTTACGTGGCCTATCACTTTGTGGCTGAATTGCTGTTGTTCCCAGTTACTTCCACTTTGTTATAATACCACTGGCAGTTGACCGTGAAATATTTAGTAGCAAGGAAATTTCATGGAACACCTGAATCCAATGATTTGGTGGGGTGTCCCAATACTTTTGGCAATATAGTGTATTTGCAAGTTTTATAACACATTTAAAAATAAAATCCACCCCCCATATGATTAGAGAACATCTTTTCTACAGTTTTGGACAGTCATCTATTTATGGTCCCCTGATGTATTTGTCCTGGAGACAGGGCTTGGCAAAATCATAACACAGATCCGTTTTCATCTTACCTGTATGGTGGAATTGTGGAAAATATGGTCCTTACAACTGTTTGTTCTTTGTACACACAGCATTATGCTAGTAGCTTGATCTGTTTAACAACCTGTCAAGGGTCTCACAGAAAACCTTGTTGGTCAGGAAGTGAAGTGCTATCTTCCTGGAAGGCAAGTCTTCCTAGACTGAGACCTGTGTGCAGTGTCACGATAATGCATGTACAAAAAGCAATAATTAATGCATCCAAGATAACAAAGGCCTAGTTCTTGTTAAGCCCTGGTCCAAAATGGGAACTCCAGTGAAGCACAATCAGGCAGGTTAGACATTTCTGACATATAAAATATTGTTCCTCCTACCCTAAGATAGCATGGACCCAAAATATTACAAACATGTCAAATACACATTATATCAAATATGCGTGTATGTGCGAGTCAGTGGAAGGGTGCCAAAGAGCTTTCAACAGTCTCATGGCTATTGATTATTCAGTGTTCATCTCTTGTCTTTCCTTTGTTTCCCTTAACATGTAAATACTTATGTGAATGTCATATATGTAAATATTTACTGATTAAAGGCTAATAATGGGCACATCAACTAAACAGGATGCAGAAAGTCCTGTGTTTACTCAGAAATAAGATAGTTACCTTTCCTGACACTTTGTAAATAAGCTTCAGTTAACTTACCAAAGTGATCTTTTTGCAGGACCCAGGAGCACTCCTGTGCTGCTGGAGCTGTGCTGAGCCAGCGATTTCCTACCCCAGGTGATCTGCAGAACCTGGCTGACCCATAATGCTGTCCATTAGTGGCCTTTCCTATGAATTTCTTGGCCTCCGGAAAGAGACGCATCAGCCGGTGACTCCACATGCTGTTCCAGGGGAATATGGCATCAGAGCCGGGTGAGCAAGATAATCTGATTGTGTAAACCAGATGCAGTCTGTAGAAGGGAGGAGAAAGCATCTGATGATAAATGGTAGGGACAGGGCTACAGAGAAGGATTTACAAGGACACGGTGTAGAAAGAAAATAAACATGGCAAAGAAAACCAGAAAGAGTATGCAAACATAAATCTGAAAGCATGAGAAAGTTGGAATGACAGAAAAACTGGAACGTTTAGCATATTTTGTGCTAGAGCAGTATGTCCTAACCTTTACCTAACGTATACACAGTAGTAGTCATCGACACATAATTAGGAGGTCAGACTTTCTTTGTATAATTCCCAAGAACCTCAGCGAATATGAGTGTGTTCCCATGAAGACAAACTGCTGTTATAAAAAGGATCTGATTTTCAGCCAGCAGCACAATCATGCCAAAATTAAAGGGGCACAGCGTCTGGATCACAGCTGAGCCGTCCAACTGGTAAAGACTACTATTCCCAGCATGACCTGCCAAGTGATTACCGTGCTAACCCTGAGAGTGCTAAATACTGAGGGGCTTCAAGTATGGACCTCAAGTTCTGGCTTGTGAGAAAGTCTGAAACACTCCTACACTTTTCCTAGCGTCCACAAGGTTTAGGAGTGTGTCTATGGGAATGTTTGACCATTCTTCCAGAAGTGCATTTGTGAGGTCAGGTACTGATGTTGGACGAGAAGGCCGGGCTCGCAGTCTCCACTATAATTCATCCCAAAGGTGTTCTATCGGGTTGAGGTCAGGACTCTGTGCAGGCCAGTCACATTCCTTCACCCCAAACTCGCTCATCCATGTCTTTATGGACCTTGCTTTGTGCACTGGTGCGTGGTCATGTTGGAACAGGAAGGGGCCATCCCCAAACTGTTCCCACAAAGTTGGGAGCATGGAATTGTCCAAAATGTCTTGGCATGCTCATGCCTTAAGAGTTCCCTTCACTGGAACTAAGGGGGCCAAGCCCAACCCCTGAAAAACAACCCCACACCATAATCCCCCCTCCGCCAAACTTTATCCCCCCTCCGCCAAACTTTGTCTGGATCACAGCTGAGCCGTCCAACTGGTAAAGACTACTATTCCCAGCATGACCTGCCAAGTGATTACCGTGCTAACCCTGAGAGTGCTAAATACTGAGGGGCTTCAAGTATGGACCCCAAGTTCTGGCTTGTGAGAAAATCTGAAACACTCCTACACTTTTCCTAGCAACTTTTAAATGTATTCACTTTTCTCAGACACTTTCACTTCACCATAATCATATAACAGGAAAAGAGTGCTTGGACAGAAAGAGCTTTGAAAGCTATTGACTCTATGCTTCTATCGGTACATCAATCAGATATTTATATGTTCTCCAATACATTCTCGTTTACCTGTGTTTTATCCCTCTAATACACTGCAAATACAGAAAATCACTTGTTGATCCTGCCAGAAATTCAGTCAGCTCTTAACTTCCTGTAGTGAGCTGACAACATTAGTCTCTGCTGTACTAATAACCCAAGCACCATCATAAACCTCAGCTGGACTAGCAGCATTGTCAACTCACTACAGGAAGTTGGTAGCAAAAAGCATTTCTGGCAGAGGTAACAAGTATTTTCTGTGCTTGCAAGGTTTGTTAACAAAACAAAATGGAGAGATGTACATGCATTGCATTGTGGAGACGGTATATATATATTTTTTTTATTATTATTATGCCCGGACATGCACTATAACTAGAAAGGAAACACTCTGCAGCATGTGTTTGTGATGTTTCCTTCTATAAGGCTGTGGTCCAGACTGAATCACTTTGTAACTGATTTGTCTGAAGAAATGACAGACTTTATCTTACTTAACGGAAAAAAACAAAAAGGAATCATATGCAGCCTTGTAACTGTTAGTTGGGGTGGACAATAAATACAAGAAAAACTCCCGATCTCAAGCTCTTCAAGAGTTCTTATTGATGGGACATTTCTGACCACTTAGGTTGCGATCCCAGGTGCCTTTGGAAGGTTAGCGATAAGAAATACTAGGCCTACTTGGCATTATTTTCCTCACTGCTTCTGCAATCAGTGAATATCTACTGTATATTCCACAAGATTTTCCAACCTGTTGAAAAATATCTTTGTTAACAGTCCAGACATATTCCATAAACACTGGAGTAGAGGGAATCATCAAAGCAAAGCTGATGTGCCACTGCTAGTGTAGCACTTGGAACGTAAAGGGTTCCTGATCTTCAATTAGCTTAGGCTCCATTCATGCTGTCCGAGCGTATTTGGCTGTACGAATTTGCGCGGACCCGCTCTAAACAGAAAAAACAATGTACTTTAATGTGCATTGTTAAGACTATTGCAGGGGCCGCGTGGCCGCAAAATAGAGCAAGTGTGATAATACAACGGATTCCGCACGTTCTCAGCTATATAATAGCCGCAAACAAGTGGAATCCGTGCAGTTGTTTCACATATAGCGTTTGCGTCCCGTGCAGTTTTCCCGCACAAAAAAAAACTCACGGGAAACGCAAACGCTATATGTGAATGGAGCCTTATTAGTTTAGGCCCAGATATCTTTACACCCATCATTTACACACACACACACACACATATATATATACATATACATACACATACATACATACATACATATACACACACACACACACACACAATTTGTATATATATTATCTTTTAATTTTTCACCGTCATTGGCCGGCAGAGTCCAACGGCTCTCCAGAGTTCTTCTTTAAAGAAAACTCAGCTACCCTGAAGTAGTGGGGTACTGCTCACCCTCACTGCAGGCCCTCTGATTCCTTAATGACCACCCACAGACCTTGCTTCTGCCTTGACTACATTAAGAGAAGAGATTATATATTTACAAGGGACAAAGCATAAACACTTTCAAAAATGTCATGTTTGGCTAAGATTGTTTTTTAATTTTTTATTATTTTCAAAGATTAACCCACAAAGCTGACTTAGCGTTATAATCCTCTGTCATTAGCTTGTCACATACAGCTATGGAAAAGCAAACTCATCACAAGGTTGAGCAGTTTAAACTGAACATGTGATTGAAGCAAAAAAACATAAGCAAAGGTTATCTTCTGTGACACTGTAAGTGAAAAGGATCAGCAGATCCCCAAATAAAAGGCAGACAAAGGTATATGCAAATATATAGTTTACTTTGACCCTGACCCTCCTGGAGCATTTCTATTGGTCCTAGAATGTGATGAATGGCCTAACTTAATAAGGAGGTTCTGGAGGTGGGTCACGACTTTTACAGGAAAGTCAAGATTTACCCATATATTATATGACTACCGATCACTTAAAATGTAAAGATGTCTTTAACACATGGTTGTCGCTGAAAGAAGAATTTAAAAAGCGTACCCTTGCAATGGGTCTACCTCCGCACTGCAAGGGTTAAGTGCTGCTTTTGTTTAGGTGGCCCAAATAAAGCACATATAATTATCTAAACCTCAGTCCCACTCGGCTTTTAGATCAGTCCTGGCAGCCTCTTCTCCCCTGGGCTCTGGTGGTCTAAGGACTGCTGACATAATCACGTCTAATGCAGGTCCATTAACTTGCATTAGACATGAAGACGCTGCGGGACATTCCACAGCTGGAGTGAAGGGGGCGAGAGGTGAGCGCTGACGGCTGTGTGACTGTGGATCAGATCAGTGTATCTACTTAATTTGAGCCCAATAGACAAAATGACCACTTGACCCTTGCAGTGCGGGGGTAGAACCACTGCAAGGGTATTTTTTTCTAATTCCCAGAGTTTTTGAAAGTAATCTCTATGCAATTCACTACATTTGTGTCAAAGGCAACCTGCCGCAGGGAAAACGTGCAGGGACAAGCGAAGGCTCACAAGTTGAAGAAAACAGATCTTGTCACTATTTTACAGGAGTTATATGGTGCCAATAGTTTGTATAGCACTTTACAATGTAAAGGGAAACAGTACAGTTACAAAACAATTGAAGACAAGATGGTTAGGATGGCCTGTGAGAGCTTACAATGTCTGTCAGCATTCAGATTACATTTGGTGTGATCAGTGGCAAGAGCAACCAACATTATGCAGCTTTCTACCACAGTGTTAGGCCTGGTTCACACCTGTGCATTTTGTTCCTACGCTCTGCAAAACGCTCAAACACTGAAATCCCAATATTTCCTATGGGTATGGTTCCCACCTGGGCGTATTACAGGCCGTATGAACGCGCTACAAAACGCCCTACGCCCAAAGAAGTACAGGAGCTTCTTTGGGGCGTTTTTGTCGCGCGTATCCATTGGGATACAGCCAGGTAGCCCTCAGAAACAGCGAATCGCGGTAAAAACGCGAGACACGAAACGTGCGACAAACGTGCATATTCGATACACCTAGGTGTGAACCCAGCCTTAAGGATTTAACACTGATTTGCAGATTTACAAAAAACAAACACAATTTGGTCTGGTCCCCCTTTAAGAAATGCATTTTAAATGCTGTGATTACAACTGCTTAAATGTGCTTTGTTTACCTTCAGCCTGTCTGCATCTCCAGCTGCAGATAATGAATAGAAACAAGGAAGACACATGCCTATTTGATTCAATTTCATCAGTCCCAGGTGCTTTAAATTATATTTTTAGTGCTCCACTACCCTCTAGTAATTATAGGAGATAACACACTGCTAAAAGCAGGCAGCCCTTATATGTTTAGCTGTGCTCAATCTCACCCTCCATCCTCTGTGAATCCAGAAATACAATTGTGAAAAGAAAAATGCACTGTTTGTAGGATTGTTACCTTGCCCTCTGTCCTGAACTGGAAACATGCTCTCTCTATAACTATAGTTAACCTATATAGAAAATGCCTGCTTAAGCTTGTATTCTGGTGAATACAAAAGTACTGACCAGGTTAGAGATACGTTATGACATCTGGCATTGAATAAATTAAATCAAACAGGCATAAGGAGCAGATGTCTTCCTTGTTTGCAGTCCTTGCTTGCACTTATACTGCAGGCACAGGCAGACTGAATGTAAACAAACAGCATGTAGACTGGTCTGGACATGTAATTACAGCTCTCAAAGCACAAAAAAAGGAAAGAGCAAGAGGTTACATTTCCAAAGTTGCTTCGTATCATTGGATGCACTGTAATTAAAAAAATGTAACTGTTTTAAGCCTTTATCACACTATGCGTTTTGGGATTCCTGTGGCAAGAATCTAAGGACTCCCAAATATCCTATTTAGATGTGGCCGCTGTTACCTGTTCAAGTTAAAGACTGGGTGACAGCAGCCGCATCTGTAAGCAGCTGTCTGCATGTATTTATATGTGATACGATTACATGCAGTGTGGAATAGATCCCTGTCTCTGGATGCATATTCCTAGACAATCCATAGGATCCTGCTTTAGAAATCCCAAATCACATTGTGAATGTAGCCTAATTAGGGATGCACCGTGTTGTGGAAATTTTATTAGGATGTGTTTTTAGTGTATTGTAATATTTTGTCATTAGTCTCTCAGTGTCTCGGTTTAAATAGGCGCTGGGGGGTTAAACCATTGGAGTAGATATCTTATGCGCGGCGGAGCAGTGTCTTCTTGGCAGATGTATGGACGCCGGCTGGGGCCCCCTGTGCAATGCATGGATTTATTGGCTTGCGTGGATACATTTGTTTGGAACGCAGTATATGAAAGGAACGTGCGTTTATTGTCCCTAGCGCGTCTGATCAACCGCTGGAGATAATGACGTTGCCTGAAAATAAGCACGCATGAGAATCATAGTAACGTTATTAGGCATTGATCACTGAGCAATGCTGGATAAAGTACACTCCGGTGGTAATAGATTATTCTACTAATGTGTTTTGTTAGCTGGCTCCTGTTCACTTCCTGTCTGCCCCACTTCCTGGTTTGCCAATCAGGAAGCCGGGCAGCTTGTAATGACGTGCTGCCCGGCTTCCTGATACAGGAAGTATCGGGCTAGACATCGGAGCATTTGGGCAAGTACGAGTACTCGCCCAAATACTCGCCATCGGTATCGGTGCATCCCTAAGCCTAATACATTTGAAGACTAGACAAAAAGCATGAAATATCCTTATTGGCACACATAAATGACACAGATAGGCAGATTCAATCATTTTAACATCTATGGGAACTTTTAAGACATATTGGCTGATTTATTAAAGGAGTAGTGCATGGTCACTTTACAAAATGCTTTTTCACTTAACATAGTGAATGGGCTGAAAATTCACTGTGCAAAGAATATCCACTCATGTGCAAGAAAAACCAAAAACCAGGATTTTTGCTTGATTGGATGATTGAAGTCAGCACAACTTCACCTCATTCACAAAGCTAGGTGAAAATTCACTTTGCAAAGTGTACATGCTCTTCTCCTTTAGGAAATCAGCCACATTGTGTTATAAAAAAGGAAGAAAGGGCTCTACACTGATAATCCATGATTAAGCTCAGCGCTGCCAATAAAATGTACAAGCTGTGTTCATTTCAAGTAGCAATTAAATGATTCACTGTAATGATTCCGTTTTTTCTAGCATAATTCTTCATGGCCGATGTGAAAGTTGCTGCAGTGGTAAAGGGATACAAATGCAGGATAGGATACAGTTTTCTATCACTGTTATTGCTGAATTATCTAGTTACAAATAGTAAAAGATCACACATAGTTGCAGTCTATATGGTTCAGAAGACAGTGCACAATCCACCCAATATTCTACAGTCCAAATGCATATAGTTAAAAAGACTCATTATTCAAACTTAAATTACATCTAAGCCCAATAACAAAAATGCAATGAGGTGGCTGCTTTAAAGTTCAGGCTAAATACATGTTCTGCAAGTCCAGAAAAGCAACTGTTGATCCTGGCAGAAATTTCGAGTCATGGTAACTTCCTGGGCACCGAACGAAAATCTGATACAATGTTATCAGCCTTCCCAGCTATCTTATGTGAACTACAAAACACCCACCTATGCAATGAAGATGGAGAGGGGGAGGTATGCAAATGCTGCTCCTCTACAGATACAGAACAGTAAGTAAACATTGTCACTTTAGGATAGGAAAAAAAAAGGAAACTAATGCAGCCACCTCACCTAAAGATTGCTAAACTGTAATATTTAACATGTGTGGTTTTGGGACCCATTCACAGCATGCCAGTGTGTTAAGGCAGCCTTATTATTTGGAAGGGCTCCCAACACGCTAAAAAACGCACATGCAGCATTTTTGGTTACACAGTGCATAGTGGTGCTTTACAGTAGGAGTTTAAAAAAACAATGATTTACAGTGTATACCTAGATCTCTGGTGCCCAACCTGAGGGCCATGTACAACCCTTTTACACTGCTGTGTGGCCCTTCACGGACTCCTGCAGTCGGTAGTGGGAGCATTCATTTGAAAAGGAGCTGTAACGTCAGTGATCTCTAGCAGTCTAATGTAGCATTTTCCTGGCCTCTGACTGTCTCCTGCAGCGTCTTCAGTCTCCAAATACACCTGTTGCATGTCCACAGTCTCTAACTGGCTTCACTAATATGTTTGAAGTCTCTGACAGTTTTTTTTATCATATACATTTTGTGCAGCCCTTTGGGGGGGGAAGAGAGAGAGAGATCACCAATTTTACAAACCTTTTCCAGCACTGTCTTCACTCTGTGCTCCTGCTGGCAGTTGAAGATCTTTGTTCAGATCCTTGGTAGTCCTTGCCGTTTCTCGCCTGGTATCAAAGGTTGCTAAGGAGCATAAAGTAGGGCTGATGTGTAAGCTGTCCACGTGTTTTCTTATTAACTTAGAACATTCAGTTAGCACATGTCAGAAATATTGCCTTACAGTACGCCTCAAAACATCCAAAAATTAGATCTCACATTCAAATAAGGTCTTTGTCAATGATTGATGATGGGGGAACCCTAAACACCAACAACATAACCAACTTACATTAGCATTACTGTAGGCTCTAGGCATGCTTGTCTGTTTTCATGCAGTAACACTCATGAATTTGAAGCAGAAACCCCATTCTTTCCTGTGTGGCTGGTTCACATCAATGCGATGCCATTTAGTGTCAAGGAGAAAGGAAAACTATATGGGCCCATTCAGACCTATGCATGTGAATTGCCAGGTGCGCTTCAGCACACACAAACAGTGTGAATTCAGCATTAAGGGCTCATTCACGCCATGTGCAGTGACCTACGTTATTCTGAATCTGATCTACACCAATCGCCGCAAGTGCACATAGAAAACAATTGTTGACATGAATTGCAGTACATTGCAGAAAAATGTAGACATGATGCTATTTTCTGCAACACGCTGGAGCTCACCTGAAGTCACTGTCCATCTCCGCAGTGCATAGAAATAAATAAAATGTCAGATTGATATTGCAATAAAGTTTTGAAAAAAGTAAACAGTGCCTTGCTTTGTAACACCGCAAGGCACCACCCACACCAACAGCAAAGAACACACACAAGCCTGCATGCTAAAATGCACAAGTCCTAAAGCCCAAGACACATCGCCACCTGACATATCTGCAGTGCACTCTTCAGTTTCATGATATTTAAATACCTTTCTTGCCTCGTTTTCATGATTCTTCCTTCTGCTGTGTCCTTCACATCACATTTTACTGGTTCTTTACTGGGCATCCCTATGAATATAAAGAAATGGCAACTGCAATCACACTAACTTTATGGAATCAACCGCAGCTCAAAGCATCCTCATATGAATAGCAGTTCATGCAAAGAAATCTAAAACAACCATGTTTATAGTAATCCTACCAAAAAAACATACAAGGTTTAGGTATGAGCATATGGAAATGATATATGTACACTGCGAGACCCATATATATTCACACACATACACTATATTGCCAAAAGTATTGGGACACCCCTTCAAATCATTGGATTCAGGTGTTCCAATCACCTCCATGGCCACAGGTGTATAAAATCAAGCACCTAGGCATGCAGACAGCATCTACACACATTTGCGAAAGAATGGGTCGCTCTCAGGAGCTCAGTGAATTCAAGCGTGGTGGGGGGGGGGATTATGGTGTGGGGTTGTTTTTCAGGGGTTGGGCTTGGCCCCTTAATTCTGTTTTGGGCCTGCTCAGCATTCAACCACCATCAGCATTCCAAGACATTTTGGACAATTTCATGCTCTTTACTTTGTGGGAACAGTTTGGGGATGGCTCCTTCCTGTTCCAACATGAATGCGCACCAGTGCACAAAGCAAGGTCCATAAAGACATGACTGTGCGGATTTGGGGTGGAGGAACTTGACTGGCCTGCACAGAGTCCTGACCTCAACCCGACAGAACACCTTTGGGATGAATTAGAGAGGAGACTGCGAGCCCGGCCTTCTCATCCAACATCAGTACCTGACCTCACAAATGCTCTTCTGGAAGAATGGTCAAACATTCCCATAGACACACTCCTAAACCTTGTGGACGCCTTCCCAGAACAGTTGAAGCTGTTATAGCGGCAAAGAGCGGGCCAACTCAATATTGAACCCTGCGGACTAAGACTGGGATGCCATTAGAGTTCATGCGCGTGCAAAGGCAGGCATCCCAATACTTTTGGTCAAACTGGACAAAATTGTGTATGTATTAAACATTGTTTCTAGTATCAAGATGGTGACAACACAAATACAGTTGTGTGAAAAAGAAAGTACATCCTCTTTGATCTCTATGGTTTTAAGTATCAGATAAACAACAACACATGACATATTACACTATTTATTTTATTTTTCCAATCTTCTACTGTCCAATTTCAGTAATTCTTTGGAATCGCAGCGTCAGTTTCCAGTGTGGTCTTCTGCTGCTGTAGCCCGTCTGCTTCAAGGTTCAAGGTGTCAGAGAAGTTCTTCTGCATACCTCAGATGTAACGGCGGTTATTTAAGTTTCTGTTGCCTTTCTATCAGCTTGAACCAGTCTGCCCAGTCTCCTCTGAACTCTACCCAGAGAACTGATGCTCACCGGATATATTTTTTGAGACCATTCTCTGTGAACCTAGAGATGGTTGGGCGTGAAAATCTCAGTTTCTGAAATATTCAGACAAGCCCGTCTGGCCCCAACAACTATGCCACGTTCAAAGTTACTTAAAGCGGACCTTTCCACTCAAAAATCAAATTCTACCAATGCACCCCTGTATTAGAGCTGCAACAGTTAATCGATTTAGTCGATTAAAATCGACGATTGAAAACGTTGGCAACGTTTTCGATCGTCGATTCGTCGGCTATCGATTGATTTGCCTGTTCGGGGCTGTTCCGGGCTCCACAAGCGGCCTGAGCCACACGTCACACTATCGATTATGAAAATAATCGTTAGCTGCAGCCCTACCCTGTATGTATGATGATTAATAATAACATAGACATGTCATGTGTAAAATGCTGTGATAACTGAAATACTTACACTTGCAGAGCATTCACTTCCTGCTTTGAAAGTACAAATGACTTCAGTTTGCCAACGCAATGCACATTGGGATTGCCTTGTCATCAGCAGAACATTGCTGGGGAATCTCATCTGTAATCTCATGAGATCTCAGGGAAAGGCATTTTCCTCCCCTGAGATGATCTGCATGGTCACATGTCCTAGTCACATGTGTAGTCACATGTGCCAAAAATCCAAAATGAGAGCTAGTAGCCTGCCCTTAGTAAACATAACCACTGTCAGAAGACTGGGGAGGAAAAGGGAAATAAGGTATGCAAAGCCGACAATTATCTATATGTGTTTGTAGAATGTCATTACTAAACATTTCTAAAGGCGTGTTTGTTGTTATTTTACACATATGGGTAAAGGTCCTCTTTAAAGAAAAACTCTAGGGAAAAAATACATTCTTAACCCGTGCAGTGGGGCTACCCCCGCACAGCAAGGGCTAAGTGCTCATTTTTGTCTGTGTATAAGATGTAAGGACACCGAGAGACATACCATCACTGCAGCTAAGGAGACAGGGCAGGAGGGAACGATCTGATAGCCAGCCGGCTATGAGGTTTGGGTGAGTATAACCTTTTACATTTTTGCACCTAGACCAAAATGAGCACTTAAAGGAGAACTACCGGTATGAGGTGAGTGAAAATCACTCATCTTCATAGTTCGAGCCGACGTGTGACAATTAAACTGTCGCATGTCGGCTCAATAGATCGGGAAGTGAGCGAACACATACCGTCACTTGCTCACTTCTCGATCATGTACCTGCAGGGATTCCCCCCCTCCCCTCTCCGATCCTCCAGCGCTGACTGGAGGAACGGACGGGGGAGGGGGCGGGTACAGCTGGCTCTGCCTCTAGATAGGCAGAGCCAGCTGTCACTCACGTAGCTGGGTGGATCTCGACAGTAATGTCGGGATCCGTCCTGGCTGCGGCGCTCTCAGTATACCGCAAGCTGTAGCTCGCAATATACTGAGCTTTGGGTCCCGGGAAGACGCTAGTATATGACCTACCATGAACATTAAGAGAACTATGGGGAAAAATGCTTACTCCATAGTTCTCTTTTAAGGCTAGGTTCACACCTAAGCGACACCTCACTGTGTGGCAATCCTGCACGATTCCGCGCGTTCAGCAGTCGCCAAGGTGTGAACCGATCGCGCTATGGGTGCCATAATTTTCTAATGGCATCCCAGTCGTGCCGGGCGGATCGCACACTTTCCTGCTGCGACTTGTACCTTTTTTCTGCGATTGCCGCATGGATGTCACCCCACTGAAATCAATGGGGCCGCTCGGCAATTGCTGCCTGCATTGTACGGGAAAATCGGATCCCGGGACGCGCGTCCCGGGTGTCGTGCGGTGTAGTGCTGGTGTGAACCTAGCCTAACCCTTGCTGTGCTAAGGTAGCCCCACTGCAAGAGTTAAGAAAATTTTTGCCCGGAGTTCTTTCAATGCCCTTTCTTTCCTACTCTGATGCTCGGCTTGAACTTCAGCAGATCGCCTTGACCATGGTGAGCACTTAACCCTTGCAGTGCAGGGTTACCTCCACTGCAAGGGTTAATTTTGTTTAAAGTCCTGCAGTTCTTGTTTCTTTGATGTCTTTATATCCACATGGAGGTTTGTTTTCCAACAATAAGAGTGTTTTGTCAGTATAATGTAAACACCATCGTGTGAGGATAACAATGCAGAGGGATGAAGGAAGCGAACTTCACATACAAGAAGATATATGTTAGGGATCAGTAAACCCTGTGTGAGTATATGCAGATTCTTCACATGACTCCTGATCTGCGTGCTGTCAGCACATGCCAACAAGATGCAACTCCCATTCTGCCACAATAACATCTTAGCAGGCTCAGGAAAGCATGCAAGCTTGGGACTTCTTTATAACAAAGGGAGGGAAAAGTGGATCGCATTTCTGTCTGCATCATGAAAGAAGAAACCTTGTAGCTCACTCCATGCATCTGCTCCTGATCTCAGAGGAAAGCAGCACAATGTACAAAGACATATGTTCACAAACTCAATGCAAAACCATCTCTGCCGTACATCTCAACGACGACCATTCCCACCCATTATAAATCCTCCATACTCATACACAGCGAGAACATTCTGCACAACCCGGAGCCTACCTGGCACGTCAGGGGCCCCTTCAGGACTTGTTGTTACTTGGCTGTACGATTCAGCGGCACGGCACAAGTCTCCGCCCGCGGTGCATTGTGGGAGTAGCGGCTGCCAAGGAGTTACTACTGTAGACTTTCAGCGGGGACGGCACTACATCTCCCAGAATGCTGTGCGCGTGTTGAAGCGAAGAAGCCATTGGCTAGTTGTGCA